TCTTCTTACCAAGATAATTCTCAGATTCTTCATCAAACTGAATCTGATGCTCCGGTCTTGTTCTAACTCTAGCTGTAGGTTTTCTGACAACTTTCATTTCTGATATTATGTTACTGAAACTGAAATAACAAAACATCAAGTATATTAGAAATCTTAGCTATGCAATAGTAAGGCACTTTTCTTAAACAGGAGACGAACAATACTCATTTCACTTTTATGCACTAACATAGCATAAAAATATAAGTTAAAATACAATCATATCTATGTTCTTATCATCTACATAAGTAACAAATAAGATCTGTTCACTATTGTATCTGTTGAAAACACAAAAGGGGCCTTTGACTAGCAGTGCAGGTATCTAAATTTGTTCTTTACCTTCCTGAGATAACTTGGAACAAATGCCACTGAGGATGGCTGATTTAGATCACATCCTAAACAAAGCATTGGCACTGCTTTCTGGTCTTTGATTAGCTAAGTACAAGTGGGCATGAAGAAAAAAGGTGCGGTGTGGAAATAGCCCAGCTCCACACGAAGAGAAGGGAAGGAAACAGGTCTATAGTCAACAGTGCATAACTAGAAACTATTTTCTCACATAAGCTACTTTGATATTAGCTCCATTATTTACTTATTTTTTTGTGTCAGTCCTGGGGCTTGAACTCAGGGCCTGACTACCGTCCATGAATTTTTATTTATTTTCTGCTGGTGCTCTACCACTTGAGGAACAGCTTTACTTCTGGCTATTTGGGTGGTTAATTGCAGGTAAGAGTATCATGAATTTTCCTGCCGAGGTTGGCTTCCAACTGTGATCCTCAGAACTTAGCCTCATGAGTAGCTAGGATTACAGGTATGAGCAACCGGTGCCTGGCTTGCTTATTTTAATACCATTACTCTGAACTTTTTTTAGGGGCTAGAAGCTTCATAACTTCCTAAAATAAAAGTAGAGTCATAGTCATTGAGTTGGTTTCTTAATCCTATATCTTACTTAATATAGAGGTTTAAAAAAACCTGCTAAACGTGTTTCTGGGGCATTTCAGATATAAAATACAAATGCAACACATATCGCTCACCAGCTATGTGAAAAGGGCCTACTTTAGGTTTAACCATTACTGTCACAACTATGTGAACCACTGACCTAATTTTGCATTTCTCTCCAGCTTTCTGTGCCCTTGTGTCTGCCTCGTGCTGCTGGAGCTGCCGGAGCAGCTCTGACTTAGTCATCTTCTTGTCAAAGGGAAGGGACTCTGCAACAGCAGATGCAGCTGCCACCAACTCCGGATTCAGGGACTTGTTTCTGGAAAAGAAAATGAAGAAATAGGAAATAAAGAAGAGGGATGATGCTTATGTGCCTAGTTTAGTGACAAGTAAAATGAAGTGGGGAGGATATCTTGGGACAATTTCTGAAGGCAGGGACTACAAGCGTATGCTTCCATACCCAGCTTTAGACATGGGTTTTAGATATACTTTGAAACATTAAAGTGTAAATGAATATACTCCTGAAGCACATGAACAAACCTGAAAATGACATATTTTTTTAGCCAAGAATTGCAATTTAATAAGATGCAAATGAACGTCTAATTACACTTAGATTTCTATAGGATCTGTTACCTACTTTGCAATTAAAGTTTCCAAATTATTATTGTGTGTGTGTGTGTGTGTGTGTGTGTGTGTGTGTGTGTTTGTCAGTCATGGGGCCTGAACTCTGGGCCTGGGCACTGTCCCTCAGCTCTTCAGCTCAAGGCTAGCACTCTACCATTTGAGTCAC